TACCCACCTTACAGTAATTCGCTGCTTTTGACGCCATATCAGCAAAGTAAATACCTTTGCCAAACATGTAACCAGTCTGTAATGAATCACTGACCAAACGAAAAGCAGAAAAATGCTAAGCGCTCTCAAAAATGATGAAAAGAACGAGAGTCAACAGCCACAGGAACTGAGACTAACCGCTGGTGCCTCCGGAGGAGCGATGCGAAGTCCTTGTGAAAGGATTCCTCCATAGTTCATCGTAGAAGAACCATGCCATAAAAGCATTCGGTTTCCAAGATCTCTTGTAAACCTGTCTTTTTCGCCATCACGGTCCAGTCGGATGATCTGTAAAAATTGCGAAAGATTTCTAAAAAGATCCGACTTATAGGTAAAGCCTTACATCAACTATCTCAAGTTCAAACATAGTATGTGTGGCTCCATGGGTATTCTTCATGTAGGTTTTGACCGTTTCGAACTCTGCCGAACCGTGTTCCACAACCTAATTGCAGAATCAATGATCTGCGCAAAACTAACAACTCAAATTCACTTACTTCCATGTTACACTTGAGTTTCTCATAATGAATATCCACAGGATCGCGTTCCTCACCCTCCTTCTCCTCCTTCGCCTCTTCCTTGATAACTTCATAAGCCATTTGAATGTCTAGAAGCGAATCCAGCATGGCGCATTTCTCCTTAACCAGATAAATTGAGACAAATTCTCGTTCAACAGCACGGATACGCACCTTAACCATATCGATAGACTTCAGGAGCGGTGGCTTAGCCATGCCAAAGTTGTGAGGAATAAGAGTGTAGAAGCGATTGGACGCATCGAGAATCTTGTCCTGTTCCGGTTGCTTTTCCATTAGCTGTGAAATTATAGGCTCAGGTGCAATCAACAATGATAAATAAAATTACCGTTTGCAGCTCAGTCAGCACTGAAAAAGCATTCGTGATCTGTTTTCTCGACAATTTGCCCAAAGGCATTTTGTCCAAGTCGAGCTAAAAACTGATTTATCCAAAAGAATACTATTTTCGAGGCTAGCGGTATACCTGGAAACTAAGCATCTGATTTTTCATCTGCTCCATGTCAAAAATCATCACAAGGATATCCTTGATGGAAGTCGGGAGTTTGCTGATTGATCCTGGTACAATAGTTGACACCTTTTCTTCCTAAAGGGAACTTACGTTAAAAAGAACGGGAAGATTGAAATTATGCCTTACAAGTACTGCAAAATCCGTGTCCACCAAATCCATGCGCCCAGGTAATTTTTTGAAGTTATCCTTATCATCCCAATTATTGCCACTTTTGTCCAAAAAGATTCTGCAAGTAAGCGATATCATTTACGAAAGATAACCACAATGGCGTTTAAGCACTTACTGTTTGAAAGCATCCACAGCTTCAAATTCATTGTCGAAACGTTCAGTCTTTGATCCACCAACCAGCGTTCCAACTCGCCCCCAAGATCGGAACAAGTAGAATCTGGA